ACCAACAGCCAAGTAAGTCGATTTATTTATGAATATATCAAACTTCCAAGAAATCAAAGGAAGGAAATGAGGGTTGGTGAAGAAAGGTAGAGTCACAGAGACTAAAGTTTGAACGAAGAAGACGTTAAGACGAATAAAAGGCGTGAAAGAACTGAGCTTCCAAAGTTATGTTTAATGGTTTGAAAATTAAACTAACCCCACATATAGTTTATGAAAATGTTAATAGGTGCAAGAATTAAAATTTTTTGAAATTTTCAAAATTTCACCTAGGTCCCAAAAAATTTTAAAATTCCAGTGGGGACAGCTGCCCCAGTACTAAATCCGCCCGTGTGCAGAGAAACAAAGTAAAACTGTGAGTAGTTAAAATCAGAAAGTTGTATCTGAAGATGAGAACTTGGAGTAGATGTCGTGTGCTAAAATAGGGGGCAGAGTGGTATACAAGCTAACAGGCACCAAGTTTCAGGGGAAAAAAATTATTTTCAAGCAAATTTAGTGGGAAACAGATTGCTCTTTTTGCAGGAAAATCTGGTCCATCAGGGGGAAAAAATGCCCGTAATTTCCTTCTAAACAAATGCAATAAAATCTTTTTTTTTTCTCTTTCCCCATTTTCCACCACTCTCGCTACCAAACTAAGACGAAAGGTTTTTGCATTTTACCATACGTCAACCCGAAATCAAAATTCATTGGATTTAGATTTTGTTCAATACTTCTTAAAATGAAATTCTCAATAATAGATTAGATGTAGGTAAATTTCCCACAAATATATGATGGGTAATTTACTACTTAAAAAAATTGAGAGAAAGTTCATTAGAGTAGATCTACATTCAAGTTCAAGAAATTGCTGAAAATTAGTTTGCAAAATTCTGGCAAACTTTTTTTATAGAGTTAATTGCACTGGAATTTATCTTATTTTGATCCATAATATTTTAATTGCATCATTTTGGTTCCTGAAATATTGAATATATTTCTATATCGTCCCTCAAACAGACAACGTTCAGATTGCTAATAAATTTTTATTATAAATTTGTCACGTAATACCTAAATAAAGGCAAAAAAATAATTGGATAACTCTTGACCAAAATTTTATCCAAATTTTGGTCAAAAAGCTACTCAAATTGCACAGTTTGATTATGAGCTATCTAAATTTTGATCAAAATTAACCCCAATTTTGGTCAAGAACTACATCATGTGACAAGTTTATAATAAAAAAAAAACCATTAACAATTTAAATTTTATCTGCTTGAGGGATCACATAAAAATATATTCAAATTAAAATCATGCACTTAAAATATGAGACAAATCTAATACTTTCAGAACTTCCAGTACAATTAACCTTTTTTTATATAAGCTAGTTAATGCAGATGTGCATTGCACGTGAATTATTGTCAATTATGATTGTTTTGTAATTTTTTTACATTGATTGTGAATTAAAATATTTGTAATGAAACTAATCTGTAATTTTATTATGAATGTCTTTTAATTTTTTCATATCTAGTAAATAACTTAATTATTGTAACACAAAACACTTAGTTGGTTTAAGTTTCAATAAGAGCTTATACGACATTACAAAGCTTGATATCTAAATAAGATCTAGCTTAAGTTTGATTTTTTTTATAGTAAATGGGTGGCATCAAACTCCTAACTGTAGGCGTCTTAATTTTAGTTAATGTCTAGAAAACATTAAAATGATATTTATTGTTAGGGTTAATTGTAAATTATATCTTGAAAGATCGTTCAAATTTCAATTTATACCTTCAAAGATAAAAAATTTAATTTGTACCCTCAAAGATAGAAATTTATATCAATGTATACCCCCAAAGATCAACAATCTTAATTTGTACCCTCAAAGATAAAAATTTGTATCAATGTGCACCCCCAAAGATTAAAAATCTTAATTTGTACTCTCAAAGATAGAAATTTGTATCAATGTGCACCTAAAACTAAATTGATAAATTATACCTAGATCCCTTTATGCTTGTCACTTAATCATTTGGACCCCTTTACATTTAAAATATTACTCCTACGTCTCATGACGTTTGTGCACATGTAACACGTAACCCCTTTTCGTTGATATCTGTTAATATAACCGTTAAAAAATATGATTTTATCCTAATAAAAAATTATAATTTTATATTATTCTTTATTTTATGGGTCCAATATACTCTAAAGTTTAAAATCAAACTTACCATTTGAATGTCTAATAGAATAAATGGTTGCACATTGAGTGATATATTGCCTTGAATATAAAAAATATTATATAAATATCTATATTTTATTAGATATTCAAATGGTAAGTTTGATTTTGATCTTTAAAGTATACCGGACTCACAAAATAAATGATAATATTAAATTATAATTATTTATTAGGATAAAATTATATTTTTTTAACGGTATATTAACATATATCAACGAAAATGGGTTATGTGTTACACGTGCACAAACGTCATGAGATGTGAGAGTAATATTCTAAATGTGAAGGGGTCCAAATGATTAAGTGACAAACATGAGGGATTTAGGTATAATTTATCAATTTAGTTTTAAGTGCACATTGATATAAATTTATATATTTGAGGGTGCAAATTGAGATTTTTTATCTTTAGGAGTGTACATTGATACAAATTCTATCTTTGAGGGTGTAAATTGAGATTTTTGATCTTTGGGGGTGCACATTGATACAAAATTCTATCTTTGAGGGTACAAATTGAAACTTTTGATCTGTGAGAGTCTAAATTGAAATTTGAACAATCTTTTAGGGTACAATTTACAATTAACCCTTATTATTACTTGAGAATAATATTCACTTATAAGTCAAAGAAGAATCAATAATGAGCAAAAATGAAAGGCTTAAAAGACTCAATAAATTTATATCAATTCCTAAATTCCATGCCTCTCAATGAGATGATCATAAACTGTAACCAGGATCAATGGGAGAAATCTAATATGTCAAAATTCTGCTACATTAAAGGCAGAAAATTCTGCAATGCTAGAAAGATGAAAAAAGTGACTTTCCTCTTACCATGTACTTTTCTAGAATATTTTTGGATTGACATTGTGATTAAGTCATTATTATGTTCATGGTTTGTAGAACAAAAACAAGTTGTTGGAGTGTATTCAAATATCAACAACCAAATGAATTATGAAAACAAGAATTTGACAACGCATGATATATATGAAAAATTTGCTAATCTAGACATCCATGGCTCTTTAAACCAAGAAAAGAAAAGAAAAAGATAGCAACAACTTTCTTCATCCTTCGCAACGGTCGTATATGACCTGATTTACTTTCTTTCAATTTGGTTTGGGACTCGAAGTTTTGAAGTGTTTGTGTGTAGATATATTTACATAGAGAAACAGAGAAAGAGATGGAGAGAGGGACACTTTTTGAGAGATTGAAATTAAACGTATATAGCCTTGACTTTAGAAACTTTGGCATAACCAAATACATTGAAGCAATAAGAGTTTATTTTCTTCATCATCCTCCCATAGATCTCCTAAAACAACAAAAATATATTATCCCTAAGAGATAAACAATCAATAATGAAAACATGAGTAGTTTACAAATAGAAAAATAAGACTTACTACATCAGAGAGAGTTTTTCTATTCAATGAATTTGGTAAACTTAAAGAATTCAAAAGTGAATCACTCTAATAAGAGAAAGCGTGAGAGAGAAGTTCTAGAGAAGTGGAAAGTTACCAAGTAGTAACTCTGAAGTTATTGAGATGAAAAATGGATAGTTGCAAATACAATATGCAATAGAAATAGGTAAAACATAAAGCCAGTCAAGTGTTAATGCTAATGATGTGTTCGTCATTTGTCTTTTGGTATACCAAATGGTAAATGATATAGTAACTGGAACTTAATATTTATTGATAACATTTCTTTAGGGTTATGTATAGTTATTTGCAAATCATTTATGGTAGCTATGGATAATGGATAAAATGGAAATTAGATAATAGAGGGTAAAGTAAAAAAACAAAAGTTTTTTATATCAAAATACTTTTATTAGTAGTATAAAATAGATAGATATAAATTTAAGATGTTCTGTGTAACTTCATCCAAAAATTCAGTAAAGAAGGTTTTTTTTTGTTGGTGACTTTTCATTATTGCATCGGAACCACAGAAGATAGATTGATCAACACTGGAAGTAAAATAGCGGACATTCGGGCTTCGAACTCAAACAGATCCACTAGTTCAGTTCAAATGTCTCCCAAGTTCAATTTTGCAAAAGAGCAAATACTAATGCTCTGTTTGGTATCATAGAAAAGTTGGAAGGATGAAAAGTTGAAGGAATAAATAAAACATCATGTTTGGTAAGGAATGAAAATAGAAAGGATGAAAAAGTAGATGAATTAAATTTTCTTCCAATTCACCAAAATCAATCCCTCCAAAATCGGAAGGAAAATGGATGAAAAATTAATTATTTATGTTGAGATGTATCTTATTTGTCTATATATCTTATGTATATATTAATTTCATATAAAAATACAATGGTAAAATATGTATATATATTTTAAAAAAATTTAAAAATTAATTTAAAAAAAATTAAAAATAAAAAATAAAAAATAAATAAAATAAAATAAAAATTTAAGTTAAAAAAAAATATTTTTTCCATCTTAACTAAGAGTGAAAATTTTCAACTCAACACGAAGATACGACTCAAACTCGATACGAAAATAAATAAATCAACTCGCAACTCGACACGACACAATTAATTAAATGAATTAAGTTAAGTTTGACTAATATTCGACACAAACTAATAATGACTCAACACGAATTTGACACGACACAACTCGACTCTATTGTCATCCCTAATCTTAGCTAGCACAAAAAAAATAAATAAATAATTATTTTTATTTTCCATTTATCCAACCAAACACAAATGAAGAAAAATATATCATTCCTACTTTCCATCCTTGAAGGATAAAAAGTATATTCCTCCTACTTTCCATCCTCCCTGCTAAATGGAGCATAACTCAATTTTTGCCATTTATGTGTAATTGTGCACATACAAAATTTAACTTATAACAATGACACTAAAAAAAGATATATGATTAAAACAATTTTCTGACATCAGCGAAAAAAATCCTAACCACTTCATGAAGCAGTGACTGGCCTTTGTTCCACATAAAGACCTCAAACTGCTCAATTATAGCATAATATCAACCAAATAGCTAGTATTCTAAATCCATCCCATCCTGTGATCTACCCCGTCATTTGGACATGGTTGGTCAGTGATCACTGAATAAACTATGGCTTGACATTTAATTGGAAAGAATGAGTTCGAACTGTTACAACAATAGCTATTACAGAAGGCAAATAATTGCTTGAAACTAGCCTCAATTCTTCTTCTTTAATTTAATCAGATCAGAGGCCGTCAAAGATCTTTTCACAAGGCCGGAGACAGGTAATTTCAGGTCAAAAGTCAACCTTTGCAGAATCAGTGACAATGAGATCACATCCGACATGGCTCTGTGAGCTGACCCAACCAGTGAAATTTCATAGTGCTCCCGAAGCGCTTGCAGGGATGTTTTTGATGCAAGTTTTGATCCTGTTTACAATGTCAAAACTAAGTCAATATCCCAGAGAGAGAGAGAGAGAGAGAGAGTAGAGAGAGGAAGAGAGAGAGAGACCCCTGGACTTCATTACTTCACGTGCCAGCGGAAGTGTGTCCATAAACAGCCAATTTGTGGGAACCTCAAAGGAGCAGCGTCCAAATTCGTTAATCAAAAAGGGGGCATCAAAGCAACGAGCATTGTGAGCAATAAATAATACATGTCCCGCAGGTTTCTGACGGCTTTTGACATATTGCAGTAAGATGGGAATTAGATCCTTCATCCTACGTAAAGGTCACAGAAGTAAGACTACAGCACATTGTGTTCAAATGTTTGAAAGGATATATTTACAAAGTGAAACCCAAAAGAAAAACATACTTCATGAAGGCAGTCAAATTAAATGAAAAACAAAGAATGTCAGACAGCGTAGCAGAAAGAACATGACAGTCCTACTGATTAATTCAAGTTCACTATAGAATGTCCTTTTCAGTTGATTGAGTTTCGAATTGAAGAACTGCGAACCCCACTCTGGAAATTTAGAAAGAGAAACGAGAAAAGATTGTGTAAGGTAATTCTCTTACATAATGTAAGGCATTCAAAAAGAAATGATTACGAACTAAAAACAAATTCTGCCTCAATATTTATTATGAAAATTGCCTAAACCTAATTTGACAATGACACCAATCTAAAACCTCCCCATCTATGGGGGAAAAAAAAAAAAGAGAAGTTCAAATCTAGCAGAGGCATCAAAACTGAAGGAGTTAAAAGTCAGAAGTCAGATGGCTTAATTATGAACACCATTTCACATTAACTGGTTATGCCAAAATTAGTACTATCCCCTGTTGGCATCCCAAGGCTTAAGATGCTAGTGTTATACATATAATTAGGGGGTTACGCCTCCTTTCTATATTCTTGTAATGACAGGAAAATAACAAATCAAAATGCCTTAAAATAGAGATGCGTCTTTGGAACAGATGGAGGAGAAATTGAGTGGCATTCCTCCCTTGTGCCTTTTCAAAAGAGATTCTTCTACGTCCCTAACTAGAACTTTCCTAGAGCTTCTGGATTCCTAATCTATTACGTGTATAATACTGGGCATCTATTTCTGAATAGATATCAGTTTTTCTGTTACCTATATCATTTCCTTGGGTTCTTTTAATTACTTTCTAGATCCTAATATAGCTTGATGGGACTCTTCTGAAATGCCCTATGATGAAGACACGTGTCCTCGGTTTTGCTAAAACACTGTTGCTTGGATCAGGCACCATCGGCGAACGAATGTCCTCGTCCCCGAGGTACTCTCATATAGGATCATGCATTCAGTATGTTATACAACCAAACACGTGTCCTCGGTCACCTATGTACCTCGGTCACATACCTCCCTCGGTCCCCGAGATGAGCCTTTCCTCGGTGCCGAGAGTTACTCCGTCCTGGACGCTTCCTCTACTCCAGGATAAGCTATTGACGTATAGGTCACTAGCCTAGGCTAGTCTAGGCTGCTCATCATGACCTCGTCTTACACAAGTAATGTCAGAACATACTAGAATGCAGAGGTCACAGCCAATAGGGGATGGACGCGTGGCAAATGATGTCACATCAGAGACAGACAAACTGCACGCCGTTGCTGACACGCGGCTTGGGAAAGCAAACAATTAATTGCACCCTTCTGTTGATGAGACCGCATTAATGCGGTAAGGCTCGGAAATGAAAGGCAATAAATGCTCCTATTACAGAGCATTTATTGCATCCTCCCCGAGAGGAGCATATTGTACCGTCGGTATCCCGACGACTCAGCATTGATTGCTCGGGACCCCGAGCAGTCAATTAGAGAAGACATTCCTCTTCAGAATCAATGCACACGCTACCTGTGCCTAATGATCACCTACTGACCACACTGACAGCAATCATGATCTTTTAAGGTATAAATACTCCTCCCAAAAGGCAAAGCGGGTATGCAACAACAAACTCTCTACTACAATACATTTTTCTCAGTGTTTTCTCCTTCCTCTCTCTCACTCAAAGACTGACTAGACCGTCGGAGGGGATACGCCGAAACACACTCCGGCACCCTTCTAACTTGTTCTTCTTTATTCCAGGAAACCCTTTCACCCACACAGGATCGTTCTTCATTTCCTAGGGTCTTCCGTTGCCGTTCCAGGTTACCACCGTACCTTGCAGGCTGTCTCAAGCAGCGTGTTTGGCCACTCAACCGACTCACTCAAAGTTCACCAGGGGAGAGATCTGTTCCCGTTTTTTATATTGTGCAGGATCTTGCACGCACAATCTGGCGCCGTCTATGGGAAACGACTAATTTTCCTGAGTCTTTTCTCTCTAAAAGAACAGTGACCATGGTGAACACTCGACAAAGAGGGAAAGCACCCCACCAAAGAAGTCTCGAGTTACAAGCTCCCTGTCATCACGGAGGGAGGGATCACACCAACACGAATAAAAGTGCCTCTACTCGGTCAAGAGGGGTTACCCCTCAAACCAGTATGGGGATCAGGTCAGGGGGATCAGCCCCCTTGGCTCGTCAGCTGGCGGAGGTGATCGAAGAAAAATTTGGCGATAGATTACGTCAGCTGGAGAAGGACAATGTCAACGTCCTTAGCCGGCTCGACGAGTTTGCCGCCTCAGGCGGAGGGTCGAGGGATTCATTCCTTTCCCGTGGACTTCCCGCCCGGGAGGCGGAAACGAATGATCTAAGAAACCACTTAGACCACAAAGCAGAAAGCTCTAGGGCCCTAAAGCGACCCCGAGCCGGCGAACATCACCATGACAACCAGTCCAAGAAAGCAAGGCCATTGGCCCTGGACGACCTCCGACGAGGTTTGTCTAGACGGAGGAAGGAAGACGAATCCGAGGAGGAGTCAACCCAATCAACACGACGCCCCGGAAATGAGGGGCTTACCAATGAACTCAGGGACTTCAGAAGGCATCCCGTCAGGGAAGAAGTTGATCTCAGAGCCCGATTAGACTCCAGGAGAAAGGGTAAGACTGTCCAGGATGAGGCCGAGGATGAAGTCATGCAAACACCATTTACGAGGGAAATCAGTGAGATGGAGGTCTCAAGAAAGTTCGTCGTGCCGCGGTTCAAAACCTATGACGGTCGGTCCGACCCCGAGGCCCACATCAGACAATATAAGCAGATGATGTCCCTCTATCATTCGGACCAACGGTTTCTATGCCGAGTGTTCCCTATGAGCTTGGGGGACTCTGCGATGAGATGGTTCGAGACGCTTCCCCCAAACAGTATTGGGTCCTGGAAGGAATTGACTAGGCAGTTCCTGACCCGATTCATTACGGGGAGTAAGCGCCCCAAAGACATTGGATCATTGTTGACCCTCAGACGGAGGGAATCCGAGACTCTTCGCCAGTACGCCATCCGATACTGGGAAGAGGTCAATGAGGTAGAGGGCTGCTCGGAGGTCATGGCAGCAGCGTCTTTCCGGCTCGGCTTGGCGAGGGACACGGACCTGTACCGATCCCTGACCAAGAAGACTCCCTCGGATATGGGAGAACTGATGGCCCGGATCAACAAGTACTCGAGGGTCGAGGACGAGATGGGAAGCAACAAAGGCCGAGCCCTCCAATCCAAGAGAAAGGAGAAGGAGCGCGAAGATATTCCACGAAAGGGATTACTACCCCATCCAGGGGGTTCGTCCAGAGGAGTTCACACTGTCTTCAAGGAACCCATCTTCAGGTTGCTCCATAAAATCAAACACGAGCCGTTCTTCAAATGGCCGCCCAGGATGCAGAGCGACCCCTCCACCCGTGATCAAAAAGTTAGGTGTTCATATCACCGGGATGTCGGGCATCGCACCGAAAGCTGCAGGGTGTTCAAGTCATTCTTGGAAAGCTTGGTCCGAGACGGACATTTGAAAGAATACATAGAGCCTAGGCCAGAAGAGAAACGAGCCCTTGCCCCGACCGAAGAACCAGACAACGTCATAGACGTCATTCATATATGTCCGCTGGAGCGCCCCACATCCAAGGAGCTCGAGTCCGACCTCAAGAGGGTAGCTTTTACAAGAAAGGTAGCCGAGGGTGATGTGGGGCCATCAAGTAAAAGGGCCAGGATGGGTGAGCTTGGCATTACGTTCTCCGACGCGGATTTGACAGGCGTGGTGATTCCTCATAACGACGCCCTTGTCTTGACCCTGAAGATAGGGAAATTCGATGTCAAGAGAATTTTGATAGATTCAGGGAGCTCCTCGGAGGTGATGTACTTCGAAACTCTGAAACGGATGGGTCTTGGCCCCAAAGACCTCACCAAAGTCAAAACACCCCTCATCGGGTTCAACGGCTCATTCGCCTTGTCCGTGGGTAAAATCACATTGCCAGTTACCACTGGTCCCTTTGTCATCGACACCGAGTTTATGGTGATCGATACGGACTCTCCCTACAACGTGATTATGGGGCGAACATGGCTGCATGCGTTGGGAGCGGTCCACTCCACTTTCCACCAGAAGTTAAAATTCGCCACGCCCGAGGGAATCATGGAGATCCGGGGGGACCAAGCGTCTGCGAAGAACTGTTTTTATTCGGCCGTCCGAGCCGGGGCGTCCAGCCAGGAGAAGGGGCGAGCACCGGAAGAGATCATGGAAAAATAGCAATTACAGTCCGGGCGTCCGGGAATGGATGACCCCCGGATAGACCCGACTGAACGGTCGGTTGAAGACCTCCGGAAGGTGCCCTTGATAGAAGGAGAAGAAGAGAGGTATTTCTTAGTGGGGACCTCGATGCCTACAACCGAACAGGAGGAGATGATCGAGTTCCTAAGGGGAAATACAGACGTGTTCGCCTGGAACGAGATGGAAATGACAGGGGTAGACCCTGAGATAATCACTCACAGGCTGCATGTTGACCCGTCGCACAAGCCAGTAAAGCAGAGGCCACGACGTATGGCCCCGCATCACACCAACGCGGTCAACGAGGAAATAGACAAACTCCTGAGAGCCGGTGCCATTCGAGAGATACAGTTCCCCGAATGGCTGTCCAATACAGTATGCGCAAAGAAGAAAGGGGGGAAATGGCGTGTCTGCGTAGATTTTACAGATCTAAACAAAGCATGTCCAAAGGATGACTACCCCCTGCCAAAGGTGGACCAGCTAGTAGATGCCACAGCCGGGTATGAACGAATGGACTTCCTGGATGCCCGAGCAGGATATCATCAGATCCCTCTCTATGCCCCGGATCAGAAAAAGACGACATTTATCACTCCAAAGGGAGTTTATTGTTACAAAGTGATGCCGTTTGGACTGAAGAACGCCGGGGCAACATACCAA